TACTTCTTCCATGTGGGCTTTGTCGCTTCTGAGCTAGATGGCTGCTTGTTTACCTTCAAGCCTTTAAGACCCCAGATGCTATATCTTTTGATAGCCAGGTACCAAGATGCTATAACTTTTGATAGCCGGACTCCATCAGCTTTCTTCACCACCTTTGCTTATGCACCCGCTTTGTCTTCAGCAATCTTGTCGGGAAGGTGAGCATCATGGAATGCCAGTTTAATAGAACAAAGTGGTCTTGCATTGAGGCAGTACTTGAATGGAGACTCAATGTCCAGCTGCTCCTTTAATACTAAACCTAGAAATATATGCACATAGATCTATTTCCCCATCATCATATATAAATATATTTACATATATACATGCCTGTATTTGGAAGTTAGCAGAGCATTGTAGATTTTAGTAATAAGACCTTTGTCTGATGTGTCATTGCTAAAGATATTTTCCCAGTCCATGGGCTCTCTTATTATACTCTTGGTGAATTCTTTCAATGTACACAGGTGTTTTATCTTCAGTACACCCTACTTGTCAATTTGTGCCTCCTCTGCGTGTGTGTCCTTCCCTATTTCAGATAGCCTATGTATTCCCTGTGCTGAATTTCTCATGTTGGTCCCAATTCCCTCATTGATGGCCCTAATAGTTTTGGGTTTTACCTCGAGGTCTGTGATCCACCTTGTGTTTATTCTTCTGCATGGAGTGAGATAAGGGTCTTCATTTTTCTGCAGGTAGATACCCATTTTTTCCCAGCACCACTTGTTGAGGAGGGCATCTGCTTCCCATTGGATATTTTTTGGGCCCTTATCAAAGATCAGTATACAGATGATTTTATTTCTGGGTTTTCAGTTCTTTTCCATTGGTCTGAATACCTGTCAAACAACAATACCATGCGGTTTTGACAACTGTGGCTGTATAATATGTGCTAAAGTCAGGTAAAGCAAGCCCTCCCACTGTGTCTTTCTTCTTGAGGAGTTCTCAGCTAATTCTGGGCTTCTTCCTTCCCTCTCCATATGAAGTTGGTAATCAGTTTTTCCATTTCTTTGAAGAACGATGAGGGTAATTGTATCGGGATTGCATTAAACTTATATAGAAACTTGGGCAGAACTGGCATCCTTACTATATTGAGTCTTCCAATCCACGAGCATGGGATATTCTTCCATTTGTTGAGGTCAGTCTTGGTTTCTTGTCATAGTGTTCTGTAGTTTTCCTCATAGAGATCTTTTGTTCTTTTAGTCAGGTATATCCCTAGATATTTCAATTTGTGCTCTCTGATATGTATAGCCGTCTGATGGACTTCTGTTTGTTGATCCAAGTGCACACATTTGGTTGATATTTTGGTCTGTTTGGGAAGATAACAGATATGTATAATGAGGTTTGTCATAGATTGACATTTCACCTTTTATGAAACAAGGAAACCCCTCATACATTGAATTTTTCCATAATGCTTTCCTTATAAGCTGTGTTCAATATCACAACAATTTCCGTGACATTTTTCCTGAGCAGGAAACCCCATTTCACAGTTGCACACTTTTCTCTTAAATTGGCCATCACAAAAAATGCAGTTCAAGTGAAACTGTTTTTAATGAAAAAAATCACTCTGACCAGAGAGAACTTTCCCAGGTGACACCACTAGGCACACTAAATCAGCAAGTTGCTCCATGCTCGCCTATCAGGAAAGATGCATACTAAGCAAGCTCCACCCACTGGAGCCTTTTTCTGAGTTTTGGGGGGTAGGGTACCCCCTTGTATTTTGGATTGTGAAAGATATGTCAAAAAACTCCAACCAATTATAGGGAAGAAACAAAAGGGAGAGTATAAGGTAGGGGAGGAAGGTGATAAAGGGGATCTGATATCAAGGAGTTCAAGAAGAAAGAAATGCTTTGAAATTGACTGTGGTAGCAATGGTACAATACTACTTGATGTGATGAAACTATGGAATGATATGGTATCTGGAAGAGCTCCCAATAAAATGATTAAAAAAACCCAACACTAGCCATTGTTAATGACCCAACAGGACCACACTCAGGGTGTCTGACCTCATTGTTAGTCTAGGGTTCCTTTTAGTAACACTTGCAGCTTTTTTTCTGGGCAGGGTTGGTGCCTGGCTATCAAAAGTTATATTGTCTGGGGTTTTAAAGGCTTGAATAAAGACAAGCAAGTGGCCATCTAGCTGAGAAGCAACAAAGCCGACATGGAAGAAGCACACCAGCCTGTGCCATCACGAGGTGTCAAAGGGATCAGGTATCAGACATCAAAGAACAACAAATCATATCATTGAGAATGAGGGGCAGTGAGGAGTGGGGACCCAAAGCCCATCTGTAAGCAACTGGACAACCTCTTACTGAAGGGTCGTGGGGAGGAGACAAGCCAGTCAAGGTGCAGTGTAGCAACGATGAAACATACAACTTTCCTCTGGTTCCTAAATGCTTCTTCCCCACCACTATCATGATCCCAATTCTACCTTACAAATCTGGCTAGACCAGAGGATGTACATTGGTACAGATTGGAACTGGAAACACAGGGAATGCAGGACAAATGAACCCTTCAGGGCCAGTGGTGAGAGTGGCGATACCGGGAGGGTGGAGGGAAGGTGGGGTAGAGAGGGGGAACCAATGACAAAGATCTACATATAACCTCCTTCCTTGGGCATGGACAACAGAAAAGTGGTTGAAGGGTGACATCGGACAGTGTAAGAGATGACACAAATAACAATACCTTATAAATTATCAAGGGTTCATGAGGAAAAGGGGGTGGGGAGGGGGAAACAAGGAGCTGATATTAAGGGTTCAAGTAGAAATAAAGTGTTTTGAGAATTATGATAGCAACAAATATACAAATGTGCTTGACACAATGGATGTATGTATGGATTGTGATAAGAGTTGCATGAGCCCCCAATATAATGATTAAAAAAAAATAACGTCCTTGCTTTTCAATACTCTAAAGAGTTCTTGTGCATCACATTTACCCAATGCACCATGTCTTTTGATCACTTGACCACTGCTTCCATGAGTACTGATTGTGGATCTAAGCAAGACTAAGTTCTTGATAACTTCCATCTTTACTCCATTTATCATGATGTTACCTATTGGTCCAGTTGTGAGGATTTTGGCCTTCTTTACATTGAGTTGTAGTCTACATTGAAGGCTGTAACCTTGATCTTCATGAGCAAGTGCTTCTAGTCCTCCTCACTTTTAGTAAGCAAGTTTGTGTTATCTACATGTGACAGATTGTTAATAAGTTAGTGTTAGAAGTGTTTTAATTACGTGTGTGTGTATATGTGATGTGTGGATTTTAGGTATATATGGGTTTGTTTCTAACTCTGGTTCAAAGAATATCATATCATTTGCAAAAAAGAGCTATGCCTTCCTTGGAGACAGCAAGCACGATGGTTAGTTTCTATGGTAGGAGGTCCTGTTCACTTCTGTCTGAGGGTATTATAGATACTTTCTGGGCTATGAGTCTCCTTTGGAAGCAGTCATAACTTTTATTACGATGCTAAGCCCTCTTAACTCTTTGCTTTTTAAGCCTGAATCCGAAGTGAAGAACCAGAGTCCTTCCTTCAATAGTACCATCTATGACAAGGTAAGATTCTGGACCTTCTTCTGAATGGGTTGAGTCTCCAAAGCCCTGAAATCCAGCCTTACAGAAATGTTACTCACTGAGTCTCAAAGTTGAAGGGATTTTAAGGCTCTTCTAATCTAATCATCACTTTAGAAATAAGACACTTGAGACTTAAGGAGGATTAGCAACCATCTTAAGATCATACCACACTGGAGCTTGCCGACAATTGGGGAGCCTGACGTCTATAATAGGACCGTCTACAGACTATGGGCAGCATATTGGATTTCTGTTTTTCCCATAAATGTGCCTGTAGGGACAGAGAGGGTTATCAGCTAAAAAATAATAACAATTGTCTATGTTTATCAAGTAATTGGGAGTCATTCTAGGACACTGGTGTTCTTGAGTTACTGCTGGGGTGGACATTGTTAAAGCCACCTGACCATGGTGGCTGACTTTGTTCCTATAAGACCCTCTGTCAGAGGTTTCACATGAATGATTTCAGTTAGCCTCACACAGTCCAATGAGGTAGGCATACTTATAGTTTCCATTGGCCCTTGGAGAGATTTAGATTTAGAGAAGACCCCATTCCTATTAGTCTTATATTATACCACAGCCACTACCTGTGGTTCAATAATGGTATTGCCTTTGGCCACAAGGCAGAGGGTTGGTGGATTAGTAAAAACCGTACAGCAACCTGAGGTGTTTACTTTGAGTCAGCAGTGCCTGCTGGGTTCCTTGCCCTTTATCTGTAGCCAACATTGAAGCCAACGTGACAGTCCAGGCCCATGAAGGATACTGTGTGGACCAAAGCAAGCTCACTGGGATTCTAACAAAACAAGCTGTGGTTGAAAGAGCGCTGAAACTGGAGACAAGAGAATTAGATTCAAGTCGCTCCTTTGCTTTGTATGAATGTTTGACATGGAGTAGTTTGTTTCATTGCTTTGAACTTTATTTTCTTAATCTGAAAAGTGAAGATAATAATTCATATTCCACTGATGGTTGTGCAGATATCCTAATGAGAGGGCCTGACTTTTCTTCTTCTTTCGGTAGGTTGGAGAGATACACATCAGATCCCAGAATCCTTCTCGGCTGAGCCTCAAGGAGCTGCAAAGCTTCCAAGTTTATTCCTAGCTGCTGAGGCTCTCCTCCCCGCTCCAGCAAACCAGCCTCTGTTTTGAGGACAGTCCAAGGATGATGTCCCACGGGTCTCTGCAGAAGAGTGTATAGTCTAAGTAGGACATGGGAGTCTGCCATGGGTTTCTAAGAGTCAGTTTAAGAGCAAGCTGTTCAATAGGATCTCTCAGCTTCCAGGTGGGAACAAGAAGAGATGGAGAAGTTGGGTAGTTCACAAAAGGCTCCACATCAAGTCCAAGTCCTTGTAATGAATAAAATGTAATGTAAATGTAGGATTACATTTATTATTCTTAGCATTGAGATTACCTTTTCTTGTTTTTTGTTCTTATTTGTCTTCCCTTTACTGCAAACTGGATGACTACATTTCTGTCCAACCTGCCTGTCCAGGATAATTTTCCAGACCAAGAAGACAAGATAATGGTGACTTAGAGGTATATTAGACAGCCTCCTCTAGCTTCTTGTGCCCAGATGGGCAAGTCTCCTAAGGTGGCCTGGGTTGGCCTTTCCCCTTATACTTTAACCTCTGGCTAGTGGGTCACAAAGTGGACTGGGCAAGAGTAAGAGTACAGGGTGTAAACCAAGTCCCTCTCTGAACAGAAAAACCAAAGCAAATGAAAGCAGGATAGTGAGGCAGCTTTGTGTGCAACACATGATGGCTGATCTATAAAGACATGCTATTAGAAATATAAATTGGTTATTTTACAAAATTCCTCAGAAGCAGTATCATACTAACGTTTCTAGTGCTGAAGACACATTCGAGGAAGGTCAGATAGCTGAATCCTCCAGACTGAAGCAACTGGACACAGGAAAGTACACTGTTCACCCTGCGGCTTTAAGCTAGTCTCTTAGCCAGTCTGTGGTGAGCTCAGGGTAGACTCTGTGGCCAGACAGAGATGAGGCTGCCTAGGAACCCCGACGGGTGAGATTGCAGGAGTTGATTGTTTAATTGCCCCAGCCTTATTTATCACATGGATTTAAGACAAATATGTGATGTTATAGAGAAGAGAATCTGCCAGGAGTCAAAACTAGAGAAATATATTCAAAGAGCCATCTGAGCTGGGGACCTTGAGAAAGGTGTTGGGGATTAACGTGGAGATAAGGGTTCGGCGAACACAGAGGGAGTAGACGATGATGGGCGTCACAGCAGTGCAGATGAACACTAGTGACACTGACCCCGACTGCTGATGGCCTTTCATGTGCCCCGGGCTGGGCAGTTCTTCACCTGGCAAGCTTTACTGGGAGTATACTAAGGTACCAAGTGTAATATCATGTGTCTGATTGTTAAATGTCCATACTGATGCCCTGCAAAGATCACGATCCATGCAATGAGCGAGTCAGTGAGCGAGCAGAAGTGAGGCTTCTGCTGAGTCTGAATCCTGCCTGCCCCTGGGAGGACCTGTGACAGCCACACGAAGGGTGACGACGGGGAGCAGCTCTGTGGAGCACAGGGCAGCACAGGGCTTGTCGTCTAGGCTCTTCGTTCATGACGGTTGGGGGTATCCCTTATGGAGGAATCATGTACAGTGACTGCTCTGGAGAAGTCATTTCCAGACATGTGACCTTGAGGTCAGCAGGGGTGACTACAGTAAGGAAGAACGTCTCCCACTGCTTCCTTTGTGCACCTGCACTAATGTGGGATGAGATGGGAACCTCTCTAGAAGGGATGTTGTCTTCTCTCAGGCCTAGCTATTGATGTTCCCTGATTACTTTGTCTAGAACAATGTGGGGGTCAGTTAGGAATTCCTTTAACCAAACTCATTTTCCAAGTGTTCTGGAAATCATCTCTTCATTCAAAAACTTCTCCTGTTCTCATAAAAGTCATTTGGACTGCATGTTCCATATGCAAGAGTATAACAATATGTGGTAGTTACATAATTTCATGTCAGCTTGAAGATATATAAAAATGTACGGGTGGAGGTTAGAGGTTAGCCTGTCAATCAGGTCACAACCTGATGGTGATTCCTTGTGGTCGTGACCTCCTTATAAGGAGGGTCCTGGGGACTTCTCCCACTCCCCTCTCTGCCTTCGACTTCTTGGTGCCTCACGCTGATGGCTGCCAGTGCCACCACCATTGGATCCACATGGCTTTGCACCCACCGGCCTGTGATCAAAGTGCATTCTGCATCCTTGCTTGTGGCTTCGTGAATGTGAAGAGGCACTTATGGACTCGTGTCGGATTTATGGACTTGAGTTGGACTGGACGGGTATGCTTCCTTGATATGCAATTACTTTTTGATAAAAAGCTCTCTTTCACACATACATGAGTGCCACTGGATTTGTTTCTCTAGTCAACCTGGCCTAACACAGCAGAATGTCAACATTAGAGAAAATGAATGTAAGGTGTCTGTGGCAGAAGTTTGCACGACAGTATTGTGAGTGTGACTCAGGAATAGGTGTGTCTTGCTAGGGGGCGTCAGTGAATTCACAATCAGGGGAAGCAAGCGATATTGTAGTCCTTAATCATTCAAATTTGGCAAGAAGGAGGAGAATTAGGTAAATATGGGAAACTTACATAAAGGGGCATCTTAAACACTTGAACATCTATTGAAAGTGTAACAGCACAGCAGTCCAACACGTATGCATCAAAACAAGTCTACTACTTAATTGAAATTCCAAGTCTCTTTGCCGAGCTGGCACTGCTATGTTTCTTACTTATGTTGACATAACATTCTTTCTTTTCCCCCCTTGCCTATTGTAAGGACTACTCTATACCCCGGGACACTTGATTAAGACCTTCCTGCATAGGTAGTTAAGACAGACACTGGATGAGCTCCAGAAGTTTCCCCAAACTCTTGGCTGATACAAGCTAGAATACGAGGCAGGACGCAGAGTAAGATAGATGTACCTCATAGGAGCTTGAGAGCAAGCTGAGATCAGGAGTGTAGCCTTAAGCCAGGGCCCAAGAGCAACCGTCCATGATGTGAATCAAGCCTCAAGATGGGGTTTCCAGGAACAAGACTGGATGTGAAATGGGGCCAACGGAGGGCATGTCATCTAGGGCCTTCTTTTTTAACAGTTTGGGGTATCCCTTATGGGAAAGTCATGTGCTGTAGCCTGTCAGGGGAGCCAGACACTAACAAATCATCACAGCCTGGCAGGTGCAATTGTACAGCGATCATATGTAAAGATCATGGTAAAGTCATAGAGAATAAGAGAGAGTGAAATGAAGGAGTCAGACACATTTCATGGCAGCATGCTCACCTCAGCGCTGCTTGGTGGTCCATGTGAGGATGTGGAAGGTGGGGATTGCAGGAGTGAGTGAGGGGGTGGGGAAAGAGGACAGGGGGAGAGAGGATAGGGGAGAGAGTGATGGGTTGGGGGCGGGCAGGGAGGTAGGCAAGGGCCAGAGGAGGGGGTGACTGGGGAGAGAGAGCTCTTTATTTCTAACCAAGGACTATATCTCTTTTGGGGGCATGCAAGGCCCCTAATTACAGGAAGGACATATGTCACAGGAAGGGATTGTACTATAGGTAATACAGTAATGAGAGAGGGATGATCCAGGGTTATACACACAATAGGAAGGGGAGGGATTGGGGGTACACATGTGAGAAGATGGGTGGATCCTAGATTCAGGATGGCAGCCTAATTTTGGATGTCACTGGGCAGGTTTGACCTGTTCTCTGGCTCTCCATGGAAACAATTACTATCCTTAGCAGTAGGGCGTGAGCCCCACCTACAGTGGATCAGACAGTAGTCTGATGGCTGAATGCCTTCAGGGAGAATATCTCTAAGCATCTGACCTCCTACCATGTGCTGGCAAACAGCCTCTAATGTTTGGCATATGTTTGGGGGAGACAAAGCTGGGAAAGTGTGTTTCCATCCCACAGTAGCTGGGCTGGAGCAGCCATCACTAGATATGGGGGCATGAGGTCTGCGGGAATGACCATGGTGGGCAGGGAAAGCCACATGTCCCTCTGTGCTTCTTGAAGTAACACTAAGGTGAAGTGAATCACAAACCCTCCTGAGAAGGGATGCTTTCTTCAGGCCTATATATTGATGTCCCCCTGGTTACTTTTTCTAGAGCAACTTGGGGAGCAGTTAGGGGTTTCCTTAACCAAACCCACTTTCCAAGTGTCACTGGAGTTATCTCTTCATTCAAAGACTTCCCCAGTTTTTGTGAGCAGACATTGGTTACAGGGCTGCTGAATGGACGGTCAGGCTGAGAGGTTGCTCTGACGGTGGCAGCTCATGGACAGGGTCAGGAGTGAGGGTGGAAGTGGTGAAAGCTAGCAACTGCTGTAGTCAGGGCACATGGCCAGGCCAATGACCAATGTGTCCAGCAAAAAGGAGGTGGTGAATTGGAGCTGGTGCTATGCTTCATAAAAGCTGACATGAGCCATCCATTCAGTGGCTGGCTCGGTACCACCAGTGCTGCCCATCCTGAGGAACTCTCGAGGGGCCCTGGCCAGGGTTCATGTGCAGATCTAGGATCAGGTACACACTGAACGTGTACAAGAGGAATTCCTGAAGTGCCAGGGCCAACTGCTTTTGTTGCTTCATGAGCATCTCTGTGTATGTGGATGACAAGCCTGAAATAAGGCTACGGGGACAAGGAACGAGGAGCATGGGCTTGGAGCAGGATGATATACAGGGGCACAGTGGAGGGGGTCCTAGCAAAGGATATCTGGGGGTCCAGGAGGCCGCTAATGGCATAACAGACTCCAGTTTCCGTCAGCAGCTGCCATGTTAACCTCTGGTGTTCAGAGAGGTGGTGTTGGAGGCAGAAGTAACAGAACGGGGTGTTGCTTCCTGAACTGAGGTTGTTCAGCACCTAGTAGCTGCAGGGGTCCATGTACCTATGAATAGGTCACTAAGTTGTTGCTAGTGCCACAGCAGGGCTGAGTGTGTCAAATGGACAACTTGGGGTCAGGCTGTGGTGCCCTGGGGTCATGCTTGCCAGCACACCAGGTGGGAGAAAACACAGGCCTAGCAGATCCCTATCCCCCTCACTCCTGGCTATACCAGATCCCTGGTGGCTTTTGTAGTGAGGGGTGGTGCAGGGCTGTAACTCACTAGAAGAGAATCAAGCTATTGGGCCAACTCCTAGAAGCGATGAGTTGTGGTGCATTGCCACAGAAGACTGAGCTCAGCTGTAAGCTATTGTCATGGCTAGAAGAGGATGGGTCTGGTGGCCTTTGAAGCAAGTCACAGGGCCAATTTCATGATGGCCAGGAGGGTGAGATATAGGATGTAGGATCCAAAGTCCTCCATGTGCTGTCCCGGCTGCTCGTCATGGTTCTGCCATGGGATCCAGGGCTAGTCAGGCCCCTTTCACAGTGACCACAGATACTTCCTCAATGTCTTC